CAAAAATCCCTCACAACAACCTGCAATTTAGATAATCTCTTGGCAAACAATCATATAAACAAAAAAAAAAAAAAGTGGAACTGGGTTCTGGGTTCCGTCGAACCTAGCAAACTAGGTTTAATGATCCAAGGAAGAAGAGGAAGAAAGAAGAGGAAGAAACAAAAAAGAAGAAGAGAAAGGAAGAAGTTAACGGAATTTTTTTATTTTATTTTTTTAAAATATAAATAGTAATCATGTGATTTGGCATGAAAAAAAATCCACATCAACACGTTTTCAATTTATTTTTTCCACGTTATCAAAAAAATTATAAAAAATGCCACATAAGTGAGTTAACGATCAAAATTAACAGAAGGACTAACGGAGTGCATTTCTTAAAGTTTAAGGATCAAAAAAGTGCAAAAAATTATTAAGGGACCAAAAATGTGCAACTCACTAAAGTTGAGGGACCAAATTTAGCATTTAACCAAACAAATAAACTCCTAAATTGAGTAATTCAAGTAATTTAGTCTTTTTTTCTTTATGACAAACTTAATACTCATTTATATTTCGTCTGTGATGATAAGATATCAACATGTCATTGTTTATATGATAGATATTGACCTTATTTACATAAATAAGAGTTAAACTTATCATAAAAAATGATTAAATTTCTTAAATCACTAAATTTTAAAATTTATTTACTTTAATAAAAATTTAAAGACTTAATCAATAATTCAAGGTAAGATTGAGCGCTTTATCTTCAAATTATACAAAACAATTTTTTTTTGTTCATTTAAAACATTGCATTTAATGCAAACGCTAGACCACAGCCACCCACCCACCATACCAGTTAACCACCTATAGGCGACCGTCCGACCAATAGCCGTCTCAGAAAAAATAATTGCAGTGATTTACAGATTTTGAATATTTTTCTCTCTTTTTTTTTCTCTCAATTTTTGAAAAAATAAATCGTCTCTAATAAAGGCAGCACTAATAAGTGTATACAAGTTGACAAAGTTTTTGTTTAATCATTTTTAAATGTGTTTTTAATTTCTAAAGTGTTAATTACAAGCTACTAGTTAAATTTCAAATTATTATTTTTAAAATGATTTTTTACTGTTAATATTTTGAATTTAATCATTTTTAGTATATTTTATAATTAATTTATTTAAACTTATAAATTAATACTTTTATAAAACAACAGGCTCTAAGAATCCTCCATGATGAAAAGAATCTAAAGGCCCCGCTTGTTTAATTATAATTACTTACACCCAAAAATTTGTTGCGCTAAATTATTGTTGCTTGTGTTTGATATAATTACTAGGTACTATAGTAAAATCTAGGGTTCATAATGGAAATTTATAGAACAAGGTGTATAGTGAAAACTGTAGTTAACTATACCCCTTGCTTATTGTAAAAGAAAATGCAATGATACCCCCGACCTTGAATTGAAGTGATATGTTTTTAAAAGCAATATTTATTATTATTTTAAAAAATAATTTTTTTATATTATTCTTTTTACAATCTCACATGTCATTTAAATAATTAATTATTTTTATTCATTTGAAACTTATAATATTAATTGTATTTATTTATTTAATAACATATAAAAATTAAATAATATAAAAATTTTATATAAAAAATTATTTTTATATCACTGTTTTATTATTTATCTACATATATTACACTTTAGATCATAAAATATTAAACTAGTTTTTTAATCAACAATAAAGCAATTTATTTAAATGGGTGGAAGGGATACCCAAACCCTTAATTATACAATACATAAATGTTAGTCATGAATCAAATTAATTAATGGGGAACAACTATATATATGATCATCAAAGAACACTCGAAGAGGTATAAATAGTTAACGTGATCATAGTCCTTAATTATTTGATAATTAAAAATGGTTGATAATTGTAGTTATTAATTAATAATTAAGAAAATAAATATTTCAAAACGCTTTAATCATGTTGTTTTACAGAAAAAACAAAATATAAATAAATAAAATTAGTCAAACCAAACATATTTTTAATATTTCATTGGAAAGAAATCACAATAAAATGAAAGCAAATTACAAACAATGATGATATCTGCACCAAAAAAAAACAATGATGATATGAATTCAAACATGTACTTTGGACCCGACAATCTAATTAAAGATGTAGTGGGGTAGCACTAATTAGTACAGTAACTTTTGTTTTTTTGGATAAATTAAGGTTTAGGATGCTCGAGGTATGCCACCAACTCTTAAGAGAACTGTAAATGGTAAAATAATTAACTTGTCAATCAATTAATGTTACTCAATTAATGTTAATCCTTTTATTTCCCTATATTCCTGATTAGGGCGGTTTTGGGATTCAAATTAAATACGATGGGCTAGCTGTTTAATTAGCAACAAAACATGATTCTTAACTACCACTGCTGAATACTTGTGGTACAGAGTAGTTTTTTAATTTAATTACTACGTGTTGATTTATCACATGAAATTCATCGGATTCTTCGGATATTTCTCGGAATATTGTCTAATTGCCACCCTGGCATTCCTTGGAGAAAGAGAGCAATATTTGTTGTGGGAAGCCATTTGAGTCCTCTATTTAATTTAGATTTCACCATTTGCTTTTCACTCAAGTTGTTCCAATAGAATGGGAAGGAAAGGTTTCATCAAAGATCAAGTATGATTAAGTGTTATTTAGGTACCTCTTCATAGTTAGAGTAAGAGATCTATAATTTGACGATTCAAAAAGAAAAATTGAGAATACAAGAGACATTATTGGGATCTTCTATTGTACAAGTAATCCATTAACCCAATGTACCAAAAAAAATATATTAATTGTTGATGAACCCTATCATCTCCCAATATGATGATTTGCTTGAATTTTTGGCTCTTTAACACCAATGGGTTAGGTCTAATTCAAAATAAAGATCGGTAATTCAAAATAAAGATCGGTAATTCACGTGATTGTTGAAAGTCTGTCTATTAATCGAATTCTAGTAATAATGATTAAATGACGATTACTTAATATATTGTTTATTATGGTACAGATTAATCTGAATAGATGAACGGTCACAAACTACCAGTCAATGTCATATGATCAATATGAAAAAAAATGTACCTTATTATCAACACCGGCCTAAGAACCGTCCCGTACCCAACAAGAATTTTATTATTGTAATCTTTATATAATTAAGCAAAGATTAACGAATTCCAATGCAAGTAATTAACTAAACCATCTTCTTACTCTAAGTTCATAGTGGTTTGTTTGTTTTAGTTTAATAATCCCATAATAGGATCTTGCTAATCACTTTCTTTGTACTTACTTAACACAACATATCAGGTTCTTTAAGTGCCAAACTGTCTTTTAACTTTTTTCACTTCCAACTTTCATTGTTAGTGGAGTTCTAGGAATCAATCTCTGTAGTTTCACGGATTATACTCTTCACTAAACAACAACTACGATATATAAAACACACCCTTTTTTTGAAAAAGATTCTATTCATCTATGGAAAAGTTAGTAGTTCATTTCCTTTTTATAACAAAACTGTCTCTCATCTTGTTTGGTTCCCGGGAACTGGAAAGAAAATAGAAGCGAAAATTTATTCGTATTGGCTGGGCTAGCAGAAAATGGGTTGTAAAGAAACTGGGCTTCAATTTATCCGGGGATAAGATAAGACTCCATCGGTCCGACATGTTCATTAACTGTCTTTTTTGAACGATCCATGAGGCCCATTTAAGATTAAGAGAATCAGAATGACGTGGGATTCCACATCATATTTACATAATTATTGTCTGGAAAAATCTACGGTCTCTTTCAACTAGATCCAAATAGATTTGTTCGCTGAAAGTAACACGTGGCAAAATATAAAGTGCGACAGCTAGAGAAGATGACGCGTGAAGAGCCACTCAAACCAAATAGGCTGGCTAGATCTACTACTTCCACCTGGTGCAATCAAAAGCTTCCACGTACCCAGAGCTGACAACAGCTACCGTTATTTATGAGTTGTATTATAGAGATAATTATTTTATTTTATTTTTTTATATAATTTTTACATATCGTTAAATGAATGGATATATTCAATATTATAAATTCTATATAAATTAAAAAAACTAATCATTTTATTGATACGTCAAGTTATATAAAAAATAAGATAAAAAGATTAAACAAAAATTATTTCTTTTTATTTATTAAGAAATAATTTTTATATTATTTTTTAATTTTATTTTACATAACTTGATATGTTATTTAAATGATTAATTTATTAATTTATTTAAAATTTATGATATTAAATATATTTATTTATTTA